ATGAAACGATTCACCAAGCTAAAGCTGGCTATGAAACATTTTACTTAACGATTTTCTCTTTTAATATATCTCCATATCTTGTTCTCTTGCACTTCTCTAAAATACAGAATAATTTTTAAAATTTGCACCTTTACGTTTAAGTCTCAATCTAAATTATTTCCTAGATACTTATCAGATATATTAATTGAACCTAAACGCGCCGATTTACGATTGTCTTCTTCTTCTCACTTCTTCTTAACTCGTGTTAAATACTCTTTTGCTAAATCTGCATTTGCTTTTTTAGACCCTTTTTTCTGGAACTCTCTATCTCCTTCTCTGATTACTTTGCCAGCACTTACGAAGTTCAGAGCGAATCTCAAGACACATCTGTTTGCAAAACTCATTGAGGAGCGCTGTTGAACATCGCAGAAATAGCGATTTATAAACTAATTGATTGATTGATTCTAACGAAACAATTTAATATTTCATTACGAATTAATATTTTACTCTATATATGTTATTATTTAAATATTCAAATTCTGTTCAACATTTATGATCTTATAATAAAAAGTTTTTTAAAATTTTAAAAAAGACCGCTTTCTTGGATACATTTATAAAATGAGAAAAAGTTTAACTAAAAGTGAACTTCAAAAGAAAAATTAACTACTAGAATTAAAAATGTTATTACTTGAACGTTCTACGTTACTAAAAATTAGTTAAAATTGATTTTTTTTTATAGAGAAAATGCCGCCATTTGAAAATTTTAAAAATGTGCCGCCTATGTCTCCTATGTCTAAAACCGGGCCTGCTTTATGGTTTGCAATTTGTCCGTACTTCTATTTTTTCTGCGCAAATTACATCACTCGGAAATTAATTCAAATTTAGAAAGATTAAGTTTAAGACACATAGAGTCAGAACAAGCAATAATTGAAGAAAGACATAGAGATAGATTATGAAGAACACTATTGAGATTAGATAGAGTAAGGGAAATATGAATATAAGAATCATCAGCATATAGTTGACTAGTGAAAGAAAAATTATTAATAATACGAGGTAGTTCAGATGTATAGAGTATAAATAGAAGAGGGCCAAGGATAGAACCCTGAGTACCCCGAAAGTAAGAGTAGAGGAGTTAGAAGTAGAATTATTGAAATCAACAGAAAAA